GGGAGAGGCCACAACAGTGAGAGGCCCACGTACCGCAAAAAAAAAAAAAAAAAAACTAACGTCAACACCAATGCTAAAAGATGACAAAGGGAAAAAAAAGAAAAAAAGAGACCTCTTTCATGAATATTGATACTAACTTCCTAAATATTAATGAACAGTATGAATCCAATAGTGCATATAAAAATACTCCCTTGGTCAAGTTAGTCATCCTATGAATGCATGATTATGAACAAATATAGAAGTGAGTCAGTTTTCCTGGACCTCTCCCATGTATATATGTTATTAAACTTTGATTTTCTCCTATTTAAAAAAAAAGAGAAACGAAATATAAAATTAGTCATGCTGCTAGATAGAGAAAATTATCACCCAAATGATCATCATAACAGGAAAAAAATATATAGCTATTTCTGATATAAATGCTTGGTAAAAAAAAGAAGCAATGAGACTTCCTAAAAATAACTAAAAAGGAAAAAAAAATAAGATCCAGCCATGATGAGTAAGTCAGCTTCATGAAGAACACTGAATCACGAGCAGAAGTCCCCTTTAAGCTAGGAACTAGGCAATAATACCAATTATCACTATTATTCCCCACTGCTCTATATTCAGAGATCTGAGCATCTATGAAAGAACATCGTCTGAAACGTGAAACAGAAGCGAAGTTGACGTTCAGGGAAATGAGGAATGAGCACAGCATCCACTGCAGAGAGGAGCAAAGGCAGTGGACTGGGATGGAAAAGGTCACTGTGCATCAGATGTGGTTCTTCAAAGTGGTCCCCCCTAAGCACTGGTCCCTTCCCATTACTTTATTTTTTTTTATTTTAATAACTTCATTCATTCATTCATTTAGTACAGTAGGTCCTTGTTGGTTATCTATTTTAAATATAGCAGTGTGTACCTGTTGCTTCCCATTACCTTAAAGGTTTGGGCTTCACATTGTGACCTACCTGGATTCCTTATGCAAATCTCAACCAAGGTGATGTAACCTAAATGTACATTCATTTTTTATGGATTTGTCATCAGCTAAGCTGAATGTCAACTTTATTCATTATTTCACATTTCAAATACCTCAGCACTTTGTATAGGAACGTTGATACTTCCTATACAAATGAGTAAGGTCCCCCTTAAAGCAGGGTTTTAAGTTATCATGGATATGTGACAGGTGCATGTGGATATCAGTAGACATTCCCAAGTATAGTTTTTATATTTCCTGTGCTCAGCTGTTTTTTTGTTTTTTGGGGGTTTTTTTGTTTTGTTTTAATTAATTTATTCTTTTTTCTTATTAGTCATCCATTTTATACACATCAGTATATACATGTCAATCCCAATCTCCCAATGCATCCCACCACCACCTCTGCCCCCTGCCACTTCCCCACCTTGGTATCCATACATATGCTCTCTACATCTGTGTCTCTATTTCTGCAAACCGGTTCATCTGTACCATTTCCTAGGTTCCACATATATGCGTTAATACACAATATATGTTTTTCTCTTTCTGACTTACTTCACTCTGTATGACAGTCTCTAGATACATCCACATCTCTACAAATGACCCAATTTCGTTCCTTTTTATGGCTGAGTAATACTCCATTGTATATATGTACCACATCTTCTTTATCCATTCGTCTGCTGATGGGCATTTAGGTTGCTTCCATGGTCTGGCTATTGTAAACAGTGATGCAATGAACATTGGGGTGCATGTGTCTTTTTGAATTATGGTTTTCTCTGGGTATATGCCCAGTAGTGGGATTGTTGGGTCATATGGTAATTCTAATTTTAGTTCTTTAAGGAACCTCCACACTGTTCTCCATAGTGGCTGTATCAATTTACATTCCCACCAACAGTGCAAGAGGGTTCCCTTTTCTCCACACCCTCTCCAGCATTTGTTGTTTGTAGATTTTCTGATGATGCCCATTCTAACTGGTGTGAGGTGATACCTCATTGTAGTTTTGATTTGCATTTCTCTAATAATTAGTGATGTTGAGCAGCTTCTCATGCTTTTTGGCAATCTGTATGTCTTCTTTGGAGAAATGTCTATTTAGGCCTTCTGCCCATTTTCGGGTTGGGTTGTTTGTTTTTTTACTATTGAGCTGCATGAGCTGTTTATATATTTTGGAGATTAATCCTCTGTCCGATGATTCATTTGCAAATATTTTCTCCCATTCTGAGGGTTGTCTTTTTGTCTTGTTTGTAGTTTCCTTTGCTGTGCAAAAGCTTTGAAGTTTCATTAGGTCCCATTTGTTTATTTTTGTTTTTATTTCCATTACTCTAGGAGGTGGATCAAAAAAGATCTTACTGTGATTTATGTCAAAGAGTGTTCTTCCTATGTTCTCCTCTAAGAGTTTTATAGTGTCCGGTCTTACAATTAGGTCTCTAAGCCATTTTGAGTTTATTTTTGTATATGGTGTTAGGGAGTGTTCTAATTTCATTCTTTTACATGCAGCGGTCCAGTTCTCCCAGCACCACTTATTGAAGAGACTGTCTTTTCTCCATTGTATATCCTTGCCTCCTTTGTCATAGATTAGTTGACCATAGGTGCATGGGTTTATCTCTGCGCTTTCTATCCTGTTCCATTGATCTATATTTCTGTTTTTGTACCAGTACCATATTGTCTTGATTACTGTAGTATAGCTTTGTAGTATAGTCGGAAGTCAGGGAGTCTGATTCCTCCAGCTGCATTTTTTTCCCTCGAGACTGCTTTGGCTATTCGGGGTCTTTTGTATCTCCATACAAATTTTAAGATTTTTTGTTCTAGTTCTGTAAAAAAATGCCATTGGTAATTTGATAGGGATTGCATTGAATCTGTAGATTTCTTTGGGGAGTATAGTCATTTTCACAATATTCATTCTTCCAATCCAAGAACATGGTATATCTCTCCATCTGTTTATATCATCTTTAATTTCTTTCATCAGTGTTTATGCTTTTCTGCATACAGGTCTTTTGTCTCCTAAGGTAGGTTTATTCCTAGGTATTTTATTCTTTTTCTTGCAATAGTAAATGGGAGTGCTTCCTTAATTTCCCTTTCAGATTTTTCATCATTAGTGTATAGGAATGCAGGAGATTTCTGTGTATT